GTTCACACTCCCAAACCCTGTCCTCACTGAGTAACAGCTGGCCTCAGAACAGTGATTTAGAGCCCGTCATATCTTCACCTGGGCTGAGATTTGTAGTCCAGTACGTTCTTCATTCAAAAAAGCTTGCTTGCGGTTTGCTGTAGTCCTTGTCCATCCTCCAGCTCGGCTCCTCTTGATGTCAACCTCATTGTGTCAGTTCAGCAGTGGCTTACTGAAAAAGATGCTCAGCTCATTTCTGCAGGCATAATCTTTGTGTTTTTACTGTACGTCCTTGCCTTATGCTGACATATTTCTTGTTTTTTAACATGCTGCTTAATGTTCACGCGTTGTTTGCTAAACTTTTATTGTCATACAGTATCTGAAACTGAGGATGAAAGTTTGTTTCCTTATCATCCTCCTCCTCTGAAGCTAACCTACTTGAATTGCATCACTTTGCAGTTAAATCAGTCTATTATTATTATTATTATATTATTATTATTATTATTGTTATGTATTTAAGGCTACTGAAAGATAATGAGAGAAATCCCGAAAAACATTCAGCGCAAATGGTCCTCTCCCCTCACCCAACTGTGCCACCTCCATATGAACGCCATTAAAATTCTCTGCTCCTAAATCACACTGTACAGAACATCCCAACTTAACCGACTGGTGTCCTCTGTCCTCTCCAGTACAACTGCACAAGTCCTTGATATCGATATATATCTTTTTCTTTAATTTGACAAATAATCATGATTGGTCCCACGTGGTGATTGAAGAGCACATCAATGTTCCAGTGTATCAGACATCTGGGGCGATTTCACGGATTTTGTACATACAGTCTGTCATTGGAGTCCTATACAGTACGGTTACATACGTCTGAGCACAAGATATAACGTGGGATTGGATGTGATGTAGTTCTTATTGTTGCAAAAAAAAGCCTTATTGTTATTGTTCACTTTGTCATATTTATTTCATATGATTTTTTTTAAAGATATTTATTATTCTATTTTGTTACTTTTCATGTATGTTTTTAATTTATTTATTTGGGATATCTAGCAACTATAACCAATAAGCTGTTGTTCACTTGTTTCTTTGGCGAGCCAATGTTAACGTATGATATTGTCACTGTTTGTTTATTTTTAATGGTCAGTTTTGGTGCTTTTTTATTTGCTTTTGTTATTATAAAGTATGCCCTCTGTGTAGGGTGCTATTTGATACTGATTACTGATGTCCGACTAGTTAACTAGAGATGTACATTAGAGGCAGACCTAGATTAAGTTTACAGTGATGCCCTTTTGATCCCCTCCCTTACTCAACCTCTATAGCAAAGCATTGGTGCGATCAAAGCAACAGAGGTATGATCCACCCCGCCGTGATAGGTTTAAGGGCATCAGAGAAATTAAACATATAGAGCAGACTTGTTGGTGAAAACCTCAGATAAGCTGTTGGTATTTAGTTTGCTGGAAAGCACATGGTAGCAAGTGTATTTTTGACAGAGAATGGGTAAAGAATCGCCCAGCTACACACACGCACACACATACACAAACACACTCAAAAAGTTATTGTTTGAATCTAAAATTATTCTGATATGAAATTTATGTGTGGTGCAGAAGTGCTGACAGTGTGTGACATATATGAAATATGTTATTCCTTCTATTTCTAATGATTAATGTGTCAAGAGAACTATAAAAGGCACACACGAAACATAATATGAAACGTGTTGAGGGCCAGCTCTGATGACGCCATCCCCCTCACTTATGTACCTGTTCTTTCCTTTCAAATCATGGATGTAGATATTGTATCTTGACTTTGTATTAAAGGCAGGATGATTGGATATACAGCACAATGAGCTGCTTGATTCCTGTGGGGGGTCTTTTGCCTTTTCTTTTTTGGTTATTCACTCCTTGTCCACTAGATGGGTCCAAAGAAACTCCAATCTGAAATGCACTCCTGTCGCTGCACCCAGTTTTCTCTAAATACACTGCACAAAATTACACCTAGAAATTTAGTTTGACCTTCTTTTCTGCAATCAGAGTGCACAAAGAATCCTCAGGGGGTTTTTCTCCACAAAATTAAGTTGCATTCAGTTCTGCTGTAGCATTACAGTAATACAGGACAGAGGCAGGATCATACCACATTCATATCATATGGGATGGATGGTAGAGATGGGAAAGATTCCCATGTTAACAACAGTCATGTAAGGATTAAAACACTGTGATACATTCAATATAAATCCCTATTTGGTTTTAATTACGATGAACAACAGAATTTGGCGAGGAAAAACTGGAAACATTGGAGGAACAACTAGCACAGCTAAGCTGTTTCCAAAGGTAACAAAATTAGCCACATAACCACCTGTAAAACCACAACATGCCACTTTGGTTTTTATATGGATTAAACAAACAAAATATAATGTAAGCTATAAAAGGTGTATGATTGCTGGCGCTAGCTTTATATTTAGCATACCTTTTGGCAAGAAAGCAAACTGGTATTTTCAACAGAAAGTCAAACTATTCCTTAAAGGTTCACTCATTAGCTTTAAGTTTTAGTTTTATGATTTGATATGAAATGTTTGCAGTCTGTTCGATCACTGTTTGAACACTGCTCACACGTATAGCTATAGGAACAGGGAAGGGAGGATAACTTTATTCAAAGACAGGAATGTTGCTCCTATTGTCACTGATAGCGTGTGTTTTTAGTAGAGGGAGATATAATCAGCTGTAATGCACTAATAAAGAAACTCACTCTGGATCCATCTGATCTTAGCATAGCTACCACATGCAAGATATAGAAGATATAGAATAGACCTTTGCCTGAGTAAAGTTCACGTACAGCATGTCAGCGCGTGCTCCTCATTGTTTCTGTCTATTGATAAGAAGAGCTGCCACACCTGACAAGTAGCCTATTATGTGTCTCTTATCGCTGAAGACTGAATGTGACTGCAGTATTTCCTTCTTGAGACGTGTTGAGACAGGGCCAGTAACTTCACACCTTTAACTGTAGTTAATAATGAAATCAATCTCACTCACCTATATGAGGAAGTGTTTATTCACACAAAGGCAAGTCCCAAAAGTCATTGTGACACTGAACTGCTATTACTCCGAACACCTTCTGAGCACTAAACATAATTATCTGAAATGCTGGCATCAGTGTATAGTGTATTGTGCCACACATGTGCATTAAGTGAAGTTCAATTCATCATGTCAATACAAAAATTAACCCTGAAGAACTGACAGTAGTTCTGCAAGGCTAATTCATTATTGTATGTGTGAGGTTAGAATTAACATCTTTAAAAATTCCCATCACTAATCTACACTGCTCTCTTTTTATGTACAGGACACAAACACAAATAAAGTGACTATAGACTGATTATAAGCTTTTGAAATAGCATCGGTGCCTTCAATTATTCTGAAAAGCAAGCACAACGAGATAATGAGAACAAGATTATAAAACGTCACTAAAAAATGTTTTCTGAGGTTATACATTTCCTGTACCTGAAAAGGCAGCACATTTGCATTTTTCATTTGGATCGCGAATATAGATTAGTGATGCGTGTTGTTACATCTGGCACAATATTTGAACTAAAACTATTATTATTGTGGAAAGTACCAGCACTCAAAACTCATTAGGCCTACCAATTGGCAACACTGACTTATTCAGAGGTTACTGAAGTCTTTGTTTCAAATCGGAATACATGGACATGGGGCAGCACAGCACTCTGAGCTACATGCAGAGGCAAAGGTGTAGGAAAGGTGAGGGTATGGGGGAGGGATGAGAGCCAACATCTGGAATGACACCATGCAATCATATGATCACCTGTGGTGTCACAGTGTAGGCAGCTGGACAAAAAAAATCACCCCACCTGAGTAGCCTTTCATATACTATACAAAATGAAAATAACTTCTATCTGAATAACCTCTGACATGGTGGTGTTTTTGTACTGCACAGTATAGTACTACCCAAGGTTTACATACAGTGACTGTGCCTATGAACACATCACAGCATAAAAAGAAAGTGTTTTCCCATATATAATAGAAAATGCAATTATGTACACCTCATTATTTATTATTTTCTTTTATTGAACTCAAAGACCAAAATTAAGAGATTTCTAAATTTCAAATATATATTTTCTATAGGATTTTTTTTCACAGCAGACATGTCATAGAAGTGACACGTAACTAATAACATAAACAATGGCACAGTTTATTTCAATGTCAAGGTAAGCCATCATTAATTGGATAACTTATGCTTGTGCTTTTCCTGCTGTGACATGTCAATGTCTTCCTAGAAAAGGGCTTTTTGTATTCGCAGTTTGTGACAACATAATTATATGGAACTGTAAGATGATCAGGTCATGGTAGCAGAAATCACAACAAAAAAATGATTCACAATATTGGGTGTGAGCTTATCCTACAGTTAGACCCAACTGTATTTGATGCAGTATGTGCTGCATTTTGTTTACTTGGCACATGTGCAGTGAAATTCAGAGTTGCATACCATAAGGGTGTGCTAAAAGACTAGTGTGTAGTAAATTATGATGATTAGACTAAGAATAAAGAAGTAAAAGTATGTATATAAAGTATTTTTTCTTTTTTCTTTTTTTTTCTTTTTTTTTTGTACATTTTTGATGTAGCTTATCTTTAAAAGCTATAAGAATTTTGAATGTAATGTTTGTGGAGCTTTACATAGTATGTCTGTTCTTTTTTACAGTTAGGAAGGCTACAATGACGAAATCTGTGTAAAGCTTTTTATCGATTTAAACTGTCGTGCCATGCAGGGTGAGCAGGTTGGGCGGCAGCAGACGGTATAACAGGCTTAATTGTCTCAAACGCAGGAGGGCTTTTTTCTACATACCTGTGTAGATATTACTACCCACAGCGAATGATGCCACGAGGAGCAGACGCTGTGCGGACAATGTGGTCTGTTCACCTGCTTCCCCTGATTGGTTCGCTCTTTGTGAAAATCTCCACCTCTTACATGTGATTGGTTGACTTAACAATAAGAAGCCAATTCTGAAAGTAGACTATGCTATTTTTTTGCCTTCAGACTTAGTTTAAGGAGGATTCAGGATATCGACTTGCACTGCATGTCTGAAAGTGTGTGTGTGCGTGTGTGTTTGTGTGTGTGCACGTGTAGTGAGTGCATGAGTTGGATTGGATGAGTGTGTATTTTGCATCATGAGCCTCAAAAACAGGAGATTCTCACTGGACAGTTCTGTGTGAGTATACATATTTTACTGTCCTTTTTACCCTCTCTGTTCCTTTTTTTTTTACGTCCTACATTAGATTTTGTTTAAATTTTACAATATACTGTAAATAAGTCACTCCAAGCAGCAGGTGTGCACAATGCTCTTGTTGTGTCGCAGTTTTTGTAGCCGCTGGTTAAGTGAAACCAGGCTGTTGTCCAGAGACTGCAGACTAAACACAGGTCTAATAGGCAGAACCTCTGCTTTCATATAAATGAACTATTCAAACTGATATTAGATTGGATTCACTAACAAAAAAGAATAATATATTCACTTCTATTAGCACTTCTATTAGCCTACCTATTTATCAATATGAAAATATATTTTGTTGATGCCTTGTGTAAGACATTTTTTGTGTCTTTGAATGAACTACATTAATCTCTGTGGAAAACCAGACTCGATGAAAAACACTGATAGTGAAGATAATGAGAGATTTACCATCAGCATGCAGAAGTTGTTTTCATCCACTCTGTGAGCTCTGAAATCTAACACATTTCCTGATGTTCCCTCTCCGTAGTGTCCATTTATCTTTGTGATTTCTTTATTTTATGTTGTTCTATACCTTTCCCACCTGTCTCGGTCAAATAAAAGCTGGCTCATCAGTCTGACATTCATCTCTTGGGACAGGTCTCCAGATGGAGTTGGGCCCCTTGGTGGAAAAACAGGCAGCGACAGGTTTAGTAGTAAGAAATCTAGAAAGAGTTTGGACGATGCCCGACTGGAGAGTCATCAGCTAAGTCACAGCCTCAACTCCAACATTTCCCTCAGGTAAACTACACTGAGATTAAGAAAAAAATGAGTAGGAGGAGGCTTAAAACTTTAAACTTGTACCTAGACAAAGTCCTGATAACATCCTTATCTCATTTGTGTTAGTGTGATGCATTTGTCCTGTTTGCGTCCTCAGGGAGCAGTCCATAGCAGAGGAGACCCTTCAGCGATCAAATGGGCTCATCAAAAATAATGTTAGTCCTGCTCCTTCCTGTTCCCTGCAACACTCATGTATTATCATATTTTCTGTGCAGCACAGGGCTATTACTTAAATCAATATCTTTTATACCGTAAAACTTTGAATAATGGCCCAGGCTTTTAATTGCTAAAATCACTGAATTGACCCTGCCTTTATTTGAGACAGGCGTCCCATATAGGCCTTTAATTCCTTTTGCACAAAACTGAAACTACTATGAAACAGTTTATTTATTTCAAACAGAATAATACTTGTATAAAAAAGTATCGAATAATATCAAATAGGCCTACACGTCATTCATTTGATGTAGGTCCGACAGACAGCCAGTACGCTTTTATTCTAAAGTAACATCAGACAACAACATGGTCCAGGATGAGAGAAGTTAGCAGACAGAGAGCGATGGACTTCACATGACAGGATTCACAACTTGGATTAATTTTTATGAAAAACTGTTTTGATTCCTTTGACCGGTGGACCCTTACAGACTAAAGGAATATAAATATTCAAGGAATGGACTAATTCGGACTTAACGAGCGCTTCAAAGGTAACGGCAGTCATCACTTTTTTTCCTTTCCTCTCCTGTACCAGGCAGGTTACACCGGTGGGCTAAATCTAAATCTATAAGAACTAGAGCTTGTTGTTTCCCTTAAGTGAACTGAACGATTGAATTGTGGAGAATCTAACTGATCTAAGGATGTGTAAGCATGTCCATACTGACATATAGATCATATGTGAAAACATTAATATTTAGCAGCTAATGCATACCCCGCGTTTAAGTGGTTTTATACATCCAAAGAACTTCTATAAAAATTAGACCAGGCGTTAAATTGAGGCAGGCATTTATTTGTCAAAATGTGTTCCCACACCAGGCCAGTAAACGGGGTAGGCGGGTATTTGGGACTCTATTAATTGAAGTTTTACGGTAATAACAATGTAATAAATTACATGACAATGTGAAAATATGATATGTGAGAGGGGTCACTTGAACTTACAGAGAATTAGCACCTGAATCAGCAGCTCTCCTCAGGTTTAAGAAGCTTTATGGTGAGTCGCAGCTCATTGTTTAGCTGTCCAGCCTGCAACTTTTTAGTTTCACTTTTAGTTTACTATTAGTTCACTATCCCCTCTCTCATGGGGTTGTTTCAGCCACAGCAGCAGCCAGCTGTTTTCACCAAAAAAGCCTCTAAAATCCAGCAGACAGACACAGTTGGAGACCACCTTGTGAGCGCTGTGAAGCAATTAGCAGCTTAGGTGCCAGATATTTACCTCAGAAGGTGGTAGAGTAGAGCCACAGTTAAAGAGAATGAATATTGGACTTACATAGATTACATATTGGACACGTTTGCCAACAAGTTGATATGTCAATGTTCACAGTTCACAGTTTCTGGTGCCCCCAAAAAATCTATTATGGCAGGTTTAAAGTCAATTATTTCAGATAACAAACACCGAACCTGCTTCTTGTGTACTCCAAAACAGTTGAGTATTTTTGAACACTTCTCTTTTTTCCCCTTAAAGAGCTTCCTGAAGCACAACAAAACTTTCCACAAGCTGTTTCAAGAGATTCCTGAGGGGGAGAACCTGATACACTGTGAGTTGAGCTGAAGTCCAGAGTCACTTATTCATAGGTATTGATTATGGAAATGACATCCCATTGTGTCCTTTTTTTCACTTTGTCTGATTAAGTGCTGCCTAATACTTTGTTTGCCAAATGCTCCGCAGTGAAGGAGAAGTTGAGACTTCTGGGTGGGGGTTTAAATTAGAGAAACACCTACCTCACAACTTCAAATGGAGCATGTTATGTGTGTCTCCACTGTAGCATTCACCTGTGCCTTGCAGAAAGAGGTGCTGTATCATGGGAAACTCTTTGTTTCTGAGAACCATGTGTGTTTCCACTCATCCGTGCTGCTCAAAGATACCAAGGTAACGCCCTCAGACGCCTTGAGGTGACAGTTAATTCATCTGACAAAATGATTTAACACTGAAATGACAGCTGTGGCACTGCTTGGGCTTTCTTAGATTCAACATCCCATTTCAGGCCAGTTAGACTAATATGGAGTAACTTTAGCAGCAGAACAGACATTTAAGTGTACATGTCCCAGAAGCTGTAAAGGAGCAGTCAACATTAACATTAGCTATCCTGGGAATTCACCTTCATCTCCAGAGGTCAGGCTTTATTTTATTTTAGGATAGAGAATAAGATCACAAGCTGGTTCTTTACCTTGGTTCTGCATGTTTCAGGTCACACTGAGAATGTTCTATAAGTGTAATATGACTGTAATTTTCTATTCAGGGCTGTGATGGCATCAAAAAATGAACAAGTATTTTGTCAACATGCTGCAGGTGGTGATTCCTGTGTCCAGCGTCAGGGACGTGAAGAAATACAACTCAGCTTTGTCCATGTTGTCCATTCAAACTGTTGGAGAGAAGGTCAGACTATGCACTTACATATTGTTCTTTATTATCTTTGTTCTGTTATTTTGCTTCACTTTCTGTGCTGAGTGCTTTGGATTGTGATTTTGACATATGGATGTACAGTATAATTCTGCAGTTAAACTTGAATGCCTACATAATCCGGATCCAAAGGTACTTGGTGATGTGGTAAAACCTCTTGGGGTTTGTGGCTCAGAAACATGGCACACACCTTATTGAACTCCTCGACTCGCATTGACTCGCATTAATTGACTCGCATATGTCGAGTGGTTTTAGTGTTAACTACAAATCAATAAAAGGAAAGATGGAAACTGAGATAAGAAGAAGGGAAAGTCCTGTGAAAATGACAAGCCAAGACAAATTAAAATTAACATCCTTAAAATTGAACATACACATGGTTTGTTTTGTGCTGGATTAACCCTTTCTCTGACCTCTTTTCTTTCTCTTTTAGTACTCATTTGTGTCTTTGAGGCACCGTGAGATGTGTTACAAACTCCTCCAAACTGTCTCTTTACATGAACAGGTATGTGCTCCACTAATTTGCATGCACATAAAGGCATCCTCTCTTAAACAAAGGCCATGTTCAGTTTAAACCGATGTTTATGTGTTTGTCTCGAATAGGTGGAGAGCAGCACTCATCCCTCCTCTGAGAATGAAGCTGATCATGACTTGGTAGGTTTGCCGCTTGTCTAACTCAACCAAACCAGGAATTTCAGTTCCATCTGGTCATAGTTGAGGGAATATGAGTGGATAATTTGAGATGAGAAAGACTTTTACCTTCAGCGTGCCTCTCCTTGTCTACAGGGCTCCAGTTATTCGAGTTTGGAGGACTGCGCAGATCATGATCTGAGCAGACAGCAGAACATTTTTCTTGATAACGGCTTTCCTCAGATGTCCAGTGAAGGTGAGATAAAGATGACAGAGGAAAAGAGAAACGTGTAATGGAGTAATCATCACCAGCTAATACATAATAATTGTGTTGTTTGGCTCTTGTACCAGCAGAAGACAATTTTTCATAATGATTTCAGTTTTGAAATGGCACTTTTTCTAATTGAGAAAAAACAAATACTCAACATTTTACCGCTAAACTGATACATCTTAATAATGACACTGTTTTCCAGGTCCTACAAGAAGCAATTCCACCCGTCAAAACAGCTTAATAGATGAAGAGAACAGAGGTGTGTGTGTAACAGCTCACAAACAGATGTGCCCATATGGTAATATCTATCTATTGTTACCAATATGGAATAGAGGAAATGTGTCATTATACAATAACATGATGTTTTTTCTCTCAACCAGCTGAATCATGGCTTCGGAGAATCACTGAGAATGTTGCGCCGCTCTACTTCCTCAGAGAAATAAGGAATCTCAGCGTTCTCTTCTACATCTACATGATGCTGTGAGTTTAATCATTGCAAATGAGTAGTGTTACGTTTTATACTTGCATGACTTTTAATTGTAATTAAGTAGTTTTGTGTTGTGGATTTACTTATTTTACTGAAGTGAATATCCTGAATACTTCTTCCACCGCTGTCTGTCACTCCGCTGTTGGTACACAGGTGTACATCTGACCAATTACTGTGTAAAACACGTAAATGGGAATAGGTTGTAAGACAACCCGCCCCCCAGGAAGTTAGACACGGATGTTAAAGCATGAGGGACTTTCACAGAGTACTAAAGAGTACTAAAAATTAATCTCACTGCTTTGTGCATAATTGTTCTACGAATTGTATGGTTAGAGGCACATTTTGGTATGTTGACTTTCTGGATTGGCTGGAAGCTAGCAAGGAAAGAAGTATCTAATCTCTGAGATGCGGTTCTAGAAACGTTATCGCAGAATGTTCACTTGTTGTTATGACAGTATGTACCCATCTTAGGCCGTCTGTTCACCTTTATATTCATTTAGCACAACGCACTTTCTCTTTGTGAAAGCAACAGCATTCAGATCATTTTTGTGTTTGTAGGATGACATTGCTCCTCTTGGTGGCTGTCTACATCGGGCTGAGGATCACAGCACTGGAGGAGCAGCTGAACTCTTTGGGAGCCCTGACTGAGTTGTCTTTGCACAACGGAGAGTGAGTTGATGCATAAAGAAAAAAGGCAGCCTGTCAGGAGAAAGACACAAGAGGAAGTCTGATGGGAAAAAAAGTGAGATGGCTCAAACCTGTTTTGGCGACTTAAAAAAAAAACAATCACGTGCAGATAAGACATGTTAAGAGTAGTTCTACAGGTTAGACAGCAACATGAAAGATCACCGATTATGTTCCAATAGAGTCACACCCCTGCATTAAAAATTCACATGCTGAGATGATGCTTTGCACTGGTTTTTCTCAACAGTTGTGAAATACTAAATGAATACTAAATTTCTTAAAGATTAAGGTTATAAAGACATGAATTTAGCATGTGATTACTTAAATAATGTGCATTTCATGCTACTTTTAACTTCTATTCCATCACATTTCAAAAGGGAAATATTGTACTTTTTACCCCACTACATTTCTACAGAGCTATAGATACCCTAAAGATTAAAAGTTTACATACAAATAATGTGATTAACATAAAATATGATGCATTGTTAAATATTAAATTAGCCAACAGTATGTAAAGTACTTCAAATTAGCTCTGCTTCGAGCTACACATACACTAAAATTCTACTTATTAATACATCTACTGTATAATTAGAGCCATTCTAATTATACAGTAGATGCCAAAAAAAAGACTAGTATATTTAGCAAATAAATTTCTGGTGTTAAGACGTGTACTTTTATTTTCACATTATAGTGCTTAAGTACATCCTCCACCACTGACCTCTACTCATGCTGTTTCCTCTTCTTTTGCAGGTACCAAGAAACATAGCCAGTGGCAAGGGACTGTGACAAACAAATCCTGCAATGCACCACTCTATTAAGATCCTGCTGTACATTGATCCCTGTCTAGACAGGCTCCCAAAAGCATCTTAGCAGTGAGACTCAGCCCATCTAACATGCTATTGGCCTACGTCTTTCAGTGAAAGTTTTTTTTGTAAAAACAAATGTACAATATTTTGCACAAACATGTTCACAGTAAAAATTAACCTTCCGTGTTAGCGCCACGTCTACAGATGATGCAAGTCAGCAATAAGATGCTTTTGGGATGTCTGAACCAGGCCACCATGTGGTGAACTACATGGATGACTGAGTGTGTTGGCAGAGAAGCACCCCGACAATATTTCTGTTAGGAGTGCACTCATTCTCTGCTGATAGGAAAAAATTCATGCGAGGATCTCCTGCATTGAGCCATATGGAGGCAGCCTGTTGAAGCCAGGTTTATTTCCTGGCAGGTGAACAGCTGAGCTCAGCTAGCGGAGGTTGCAGGAGTCTTGGCCATCTTGGATCAACACATCCTGCCACAATTGACAACACACCGGAGTCACTATTAACAAGAATATGAAAAAATGTGAATGACAATAATCAGCCAGCAGAGGGCAGTCACCCCCATTAAACTTCACTGTTACGAGAGAGAAAGGCAGGAGTTCACTTCTTCAAAATGCAAATTGTACAACACTTTTGCTAGTGCCCTTTTGTCACACCTGTTAACAGAGAATTTTTGACATCCAGTGTTCATACACTTGTTGGCGATATGATTTTCATCACTTTAAACCATTTTTATGACAAAACATTGTGAATTTTGTGTAAATATTAATGGTGTCAAAAACGCCTGTGGTGATGCTTCAGTAATTGTATGTCTGCTCTAATATTGTTTAAATAAAAAAATACACAGGTCATTTTAACTCTGATATTCATTAACTATTTATGTGGTATTTCTGATTTTCCAAAATTATTGTAGGTCTGGAAAACACATATCCACGATTGTTATAATGGTACAAAACCTGAGCACTATCTGCATGTATGAATTCCAGCTAATCATGGGGATGAGACTGTTATATATATATCCAAAATCCAGTATCACTGGTGTACAGTCATGTCATTCAAACAGTAAATCTTTAGTGTATGCGAGTTTGTAACGTGGGGGTTAAAAATATTTAAGTGTTTTATTTCTAAATTAAGTACTATATTAAGAGTACTCATTAAAACAAATAGTTTAAAATTTTTGTACATAAGTGATCTTTTTATTTTGTTGTCCATAAAAAGGTCAAGATTCAGTCCCATGAATTAATTTCATTACATATTCTCAGTTCAAAAAAGCAACATAATTACAAATCATAATACAAAGAATAGAATAGGTAAGTACATTAACCATATAAACAGCCCACTAATATTGTCTAGCCCCCCCCACCCACACACACACACACACACACACCACTGCCCCACTCAAACTCTAGCACAAAACTCATAATACATCAGTTAGTATCAGCAATAAAAAAATTCAAATAAACGTCCCGTTTTTTTTAAAAAAGCGCTTCAATGTTCCAATGCCATGAGTTAAACTTTACCCTCACATAGAATACAATAGCGATAACATCCCACCCGTTACTTGCTCTGCAAAACACAATAGACATGCATACAGTTTTCACTGTTTGACCCCCCCCCCCCCCACCAATAAACATTCAGGGCCAGAGGATACAATATACGTCAACCATAGTGGTGCATCAATATAATGGCAAGTTTTCACCCCGTTTCTTGAACCCCAGGAATGAAAGGTAGATCCAGTGGTTTCCCTGATAACACGACCTGTCCAGGAGAAACTGAAACCTACTTCTAAATTGAGAGAGAGCGGTGATAACTCTCTCTAATTCTTCAGACAGCTCAGATCCCTGGCTCAAGATGGTAACAGATTTCCATTAAATATCAGAGACACAAAGTACAGGATGAGAATGGAAAGATTCCCTGTTCGTAATGATGACAGGAAGCGAGTGGTGTTCAGTAACAGTTCCACTGCTTACTAAGACCGACTTGTACTCCCAAAATGGAGCAATCAGATCAGTGCTAGCTCAGTACATGTTCCCTTAAAAAAACAAAACAAAAAAAAAACGCAGCTACACTGAAACTGATGGGCCTCCTATGCAGCAGACACCATGTGTAGATCTGAAATGTGGTGCTAGCCTGCAACCATAAAACCAGTTCTTGTAATTTTTCACGTCTGTACACAGGGCCTATTACTACTTATTCAAAAGTGATCTTAGTATCCTTGATGCTGGCCTGTAGAAGACAGTCAATAATAATGAAGACACACAAACTTACATTTTATACCCTTATTACACTTTGGATGCTTTGTACAATAGTGCTGAACTTAAGACCTGCTTTTGTCATGCTTGATCCGATATATATATATATATATAAATGTGTAAATATACTGTATACTACAGTACATGAATTTATGTGTGTACGCATGTGTATGTTTAATGTATGTGTGTGATGATGATGTGCAAAGGTGTGTGTGTGCACGCGCACGTGCATGCGTGTGGTGGAACCTGCACCACACCAACAGTGAGAGGCTCAAATATGGCTTGTGTCAGACATGAAGCGTGCTGCCACCCATAAGAGAGCTACTGTACATATAGGGCCACACGTTACGCAGAGCTAGTTGTCCCGTCCTGGCACCCAAGCTGAATCACATTGTAAGTCATAACGTCGACACACCTGGTTCTAAAAACAAATAATCCATGGCCCAACAACACGACAAACACGCTCAGATTAATTACATCAAGACAAAAATGTTAGGGAGAAATGTGGTGAGGGTGAGTATGAACAGGAGGCTGACTAACCCTGGTAATGAGTGCTACTGGAACAAGACTTGGAAAACAAACTGTGCTGTAAGACAACAAGTTAATCAATATTACACAATAGAGAATCTGATGAAGCAAAAGATTGTTCTGAATAAAACAGACATAATCCTCATTAGTTTGGTAAACTGAGCAGCTACTTGGTCTCCTTGAACATTTAGAGCCTCCAAATCCAGCATCTCATCAAGCTCCAAAAGAAGGCATATTCATCACAGATCTCCTTAACAGCTGCACTTCAGACTTAAATCTGATTTATTTCTGCTGTTACCAAGTCAGTGCAGTCTGCCCAACTTTTTAAACATCACATATCAGTAAATACTGAAGGGCTACAGCCTTCTGTTTAGAGCCAACCGATCTAATGTGACATGAAAAGTATAGAGTAAACCTGCACTTTTATAACTGTTCTGTTAATGCCAGAAACATGTCCAAATAAACACGTTACATATTCTCAGTGCGGCCCCTCAAATACCTGTTTCTACTTCAACCACAATCATTCTTGATCGCAAGTATAAAATGTCAGACTGTGGGGAAAAAGCAATACAGGTGAATCAAAACAATTTCCTGTGCGTTCCCACTGCAGTTTTGCGAACAGTAAAAGGCTAAATCTACAGCACAGCCAGGAAATGAAGTGGTTGCTGGCCGTCCTGTGATCTTATCAGAGTCAAAAATGAGGAAGAGGAAAATATGAGACACCCGCCAGCCATACAAGCAATGACCGTATTCCAGGCTAGTCCTTGTGTATCCACCATAACCGACACAGAAGGAAAGGTGATGGAGCCCCAAATCACACAAATAAAGTAGGTTAGTGTTAGCTGGACAACTTGGGAAATGCCCTGGCAGTCAGATGGATATCTGGTAACAGGTAAACATGGATAGAGGGCACACATGCTTGACCAGTGTTGTTCACTGGAAAGAGAACTGGTCAAGCTGTGGAGGTATTCTTCATACATACACGCACCAAAAAAATAAAAAGGACAAAAACTAAACATCAATATTGATAAGTCTCCATAAGCCTTCTCCACTTGCAGCTGTCCCAGGTCATTAGGATGTCCTTCATTTCTTTCAGCACTGCCTGGCTCACAAACTCTTGCACACATACATATTCAGGTGTCACGGGTCCATGGAGATTTTAAGAACACATACACCCATGACTCATACATTCACTAACATGTCATACTTAAAAATTACATCTGTGTGCCTTTTTGGACAAAGTACATTGTTGTTACTTCTAAATTCATGTGAGTGTCACATTTTAAAGCTGCAATTCAAAAGTTTTCCCAGGTGACTTGTAAAACTTGAAGTTGTTTTATCTCAGTTCTTGTTCTTAGTGTTTCACCACCACACAGATGGACACCGCCGTTTATATATTAAAAAGCCTTCTCACCTTTAAAAAACAGGAAATTATTTTAACACATGTTGAAAAGTAACCTAAAGGTGTGCTGCTTCAAAGACACACAGATGTGACCAAAAAAAATTATTTCAATCACACATCCTCAAATTTCTCATCCATACTTTGCAAACATGCTTTCTCACTCAGTCCCACACACATGCACGTACACGCTCGTCTCATTCACACAAACGCAGAGAGGCTGTTGTTTGTTTCTCAGGCATGCTGTGTAGCCAGGTCCTGGTTGATGAAGCGCCGTAGCCTCTCCAGGTACTGACTGTAAAGCTCAATGTCGTTGTGACCGGCTCCCTCCACCCAGAGGGGCTCCACGGCCTTGGGACACCGCTCAAACAGGGCGAGGCCGTGAGAGAAGTCGATCACCTCGTCCTCTGTACCGTGGATAATGAGCACTGGAGACGGGATCTTTGACACTTTCTCTATGCTGGAAGAAAAATAATGGAGGCTATTAATGCCCTAATTTTAGAAAATTCAAGAAACAAGATAATTTTTCCATTAGTATTGACCAACAATGACAAATAACCATGCTCGTTTCAGTCAACGTGTTTGAGATACATTTAAGTGATATTACACATAAAATCAGAGTATCACCCGATCCTGTTGGCTTAAAAGGTGTGCAGTTTCTTCTTTGAACTGGCTAATTTAGCTAATTTAATACCTTGCAAATCAAGGTTCTTTCTGCCGCAAAAATATCTGGACACCAGGAAGAGTAGCTATTGCCAAGGTAACAACCAATGGACAGCCAAATAAAAAATAAACAAAAAGCCCATTATTGCCATCATGCAGTCCTGCTAAACATTGCCACAGTTGTCTAACTACAATAAATATATTAAAGGGTTAAATAAATCGATATAAAAAGTATTAAAAAAACCTGACCGTAGTCTCACAATATATGGTGATATTTATATTATATTGCCCAAACGTACTCATTTACCAGACATTTTGTTCAAAGTGACTTACAGTAAGTGCATTTCACCCTCAAGGACTAGCTTTGTCACACAGGTTCCACATTGCATTATAATGCTAGAACGGCCATCAGAATTTAAATGGAATAATATATTAGCTTTTGGAACATACTGGGCAGAAACAGATACCCAGGAGTAGTTTGTGAATTTTTAATGCACATTTTCATACTTCTTTTTCCAGAGTGATAATGCGTAAGATTCAGAGTTTCATGTAAATAACTAGGTAAACAATTCAAGCTTGTTCTTTTTACAGACACCTTTAGAGTTTAGAATGGTATGAGTACTTGATACTAAGGATACATTTTGAGTAAAAGGTCACTTTAATTAAAAAAAAAAAAAAAAAACCAAAATACAGCTAACGTAGGTTTTCTGTCGAGGAACTTACTTAGGGAAGGCATCAAAGCAGTAGGTTTTCTTGGTGTCAGGAAAGGCCACTCTCATGCCAGAGGTGAGAGGAGAGTGGAGGACCACAGCCGCACACTCAAACCGTGATGCCAAGTCTACTGTGGGCACCGTGCCGATGCTCTGTCCGTATAGGATGATATTCTCAGGGCTGATGCCGTACCTGAAACAACACACACACACACACACACACACAATCTCAGAATAAGAGCCCCTTTTTATCCCGCAAGTATGAGAAGTATGTATATTTCCATATGCAGATTAACATGGTTCAGTAACCCTTTCCATCCAACACACGAGCAACCCCTGTGTTTCCTGTTAATAATAGACAAGGCTCACTTGCCCTTATCCTTCCAGTTTAAATGCTATCTTAAGACCAGCATCAGGGACTGTGAGTAAATCCTGATTTTTTTTTTTAAACATAAATGTTGTCTTGAGTCTTAACTTTTCAGTGGCTTCAAAGTTCCATTTGTTTTGCCACCTGGTAATGTACGTTTCTGTTAATATTGGGCTCATTAACCATGCTGGCAGCAGATAAACAAGAGGAAAGTCTTTCATGATTTTAGAGCACAGTATAAAACAGCCAATCATCAGCCTGGTTGATAGAGCGCCATTGTTTAGCTTTGATTTGACTGGCCGATGGTCAGAGACAGGCCACTGCGGTCAGCAGGGAAAAAGTCTGTATATAAATGAGCCAACCAAATGTTCTTTTCACAAAAAGTTACTGGCCAGAGATCTATGCGACTCTCACTGGTTTATCTACCAAACACATTTCAACTGGCATTTGGTGATTGCTGGCTGTTGATTTCGGACCCTGCGTGAATGGGAACGGGCAGTTTCTGCCTGCTTACCGGGAGCGCAGGGCATGCCAGGCAGCATCAATGTCAGCGTAAAGGTTTTTCTCAGAGGGCTTGCCAGTGCTAACACCGTAGCCTGAGTAATCATAGGAAAAGATGTTGCAGTTGATGCGTGTGCCTAAGCCGATGTAGAAGCTGCTCATCTGGCCCAGGTCTACTGCATTGCCATGGGAAAACAACACTGTAAACCTGAGAGATAAAGGAGGAAGAAGAAAGAAGAAGGATGTTATGCAGCAGGCTGAGACTAAGCAGGGAATCTGGTGAACTGGGAAGCCCCGAGTTGATGGAAAAACATGGGATATAATTGCATGGCTGAGAAAAATATATTTGTATTTGGTTCCAACAAAAGACAGGCATGCTGCCCTATTTAAAGCATAAGCAAAACACAGAGATACAGGGTTGTGATCTGTGTGTGCAGGCAGGTTCAGTCTCAAGGTGTTCAGGGGCTGGTGTGTTTCGCACCTGGCATTGGGGGCACAGCGAATGTACATGCATCCCACCCTGTTCCCTCGGCTAGATCTGGTCAGGAATACATCCGTCACATCCAGCTCCCTCTGTGAATACTGGAACTCAGCCCTCTCTGTGAGATGAAGTTTCCACCTGCCCTCAGCCCCAACGCCGCCGCTGCCACCCCCTGCCACTGCTCCTGCTCCTGCTCCTGCTCCTGCTCCTGCTCCACCACCGCCTCCGCCTCCTCTGTCATTTCCACTACCAGTGCCCAGCCGGGAACGCAGTCCTGGGGCTCCAAGAGAAGGCGGAGCAGCCCCGGAGCTGGACCCAGAAGCAGTTCCAGCTCCAGAACCTGGATCTGGGTCAGGGAGAAGGGTGTAGGTGGGCTCTGGAGGGAGGAAAGCCAGTTTGGCTGCAATGCGGCTGGGGCAAGGGGGGCAGCAGAACAGGCAGCATAGCTCTCGTATGGACAGACCGTTCATCTTCTGGTAGAAAAATAAACATGGCAGACGGAGTATTAGGTGGTAGAATAACAGAATAAGAACAGCATGCAAGAAGCAAAGCCTTTCACCTCTGATTAACAGCAGGGTTTCACTCAGTTTTTTATAGTGGAGGCACCTCGCCTTGCCTGAAATAACGCGCATCTCCACTGTCGTCAGAATCAAATATTGCACTACATCATTAGCAAAGGCCACATGTTTCAAAATCGTCATCCGCAATCCACACTGATTATGAGATGTGATGCATCACGATCAGCAGATGATTAAGATCCTACGTTTGTTTCAGTTATTTGTCAGAGGAGAACATTGCAAAATCAAGAAAAAGAAACGTGTTTTTACAGGTTAGAAAAAGTAGAGATAAACAGCCCTTACCGCCTCCACTAACCAATTTCCTGGGAGAAACCCTGCACATATACCCTGTAATGAATATACCTGGATTCAGAAATCCCTGGGTCTTGAAATGAACTGGCACACAAGGGTGCCAAGGTTTTCTTGTCTGGTCACTGAGCCAGCTGGATCTTGATAAAAAAGAAATGATGACACATTAAAATGGCTTCACATCATGTGGAAATATACTGTACATGACAACGTATTGTCACACATGCATGCTTACTTAGTTGCCCCGGTCTTTTAATGTTTCTCATTCGAGCTTTTATGTGCTGGTAAGCCCAAGCTATCATTCTTGCTTTAAAAAAATAGTTTACAATGGGAAAAAGGTAAATAGTAACCTAGCGTCACAGCAATGAGGAATCCATAACTGATTCAAAGACAAAGGACAACCCCAACCACACGCCACTTGTTATTGTCATCAAGTTACAGTTCCTGCAATCAAGCAGCGTTTATTAGGGCAGAAGCTATGTGCATTTAAGCAAGTACTGATTCAAATGCCTGCTGGGATCATGGACACTGGTGACTAATTAAAACACCCCCCTCAACCCAGACACAGAGCGAAAGGGAGCGACTGATATGCTAATGGTGGCTACACTGGTAAAAACGATATTCACCTCTAACGTTAGCCAGTGATGTGGCACATAACGGGAGCAGCATGTTGACATGCCATACATACACCTGGAAGAGTAGATAAGCGACACGTGCCTGCTGTTACAGTACCCCCGTGAACAGGTTAATGCCAGCCGACAGTCAAAATAGCATCACTTAGGGAAGGGAACCAGCTAGCGGCGGCAGCTAGCTCGCTACCTCGCTAGCGTCAAAGCTAGTCACTTACCGATTCACAGTAGGTTGGCAGGCAGGCTAGTCTGTCCCTGTACGTACACAGAAGCAGCACAAGATTCCGAAAATCCTTCTTGTGCCTTGACATGGATGGTTTTACTCAAATGTACTGGCAGCTGTCGGTGGCTAGCTAGCTGAAATTCATTGCAACCATTTTTTCCCCCTACTACTGTCCGATTAAACCCGGAAGTGACGTAAGGGCTTTTTCAAAACTTTATTACAATGCGCCTTGACTAAATAATTACATTTATACACGGTTAAAACAGAGGGGGAAACAATTTAAACATTTCACAGTTTTATTTCCTTAAATGTTATTATAGCTAGTACCATAATATTTAGTAGGTCAATTAAGCTTTTCTGATTGTTGTTTTTATCAATTAATTTGATAGGATTCGGGCATCCTACTCTACAACATAACGCACTTATTAACAAAAATATTATAAAACCCAAGAACAAAATAAAAAAAACACAAAGAATTCAATCCAACATGGGAAACTTGAAGTTAAACATAAAATTAATTATACAGCATGTAGGGGAGACCGGGGATGGTTGTAACGCGGGTGAATTGTAACACCTCCAGTTTATCCAATCAGGAACCAGTTAGGAATCACCTGATTCACTCTGTACATGTTCAGTTTAGACCTAGAAATGCACGGTATCTGCGTAGCTCCTAGGTCATCTCTCGTTGCCCTATCTATGTCAGGTATGTAAGTTAGCAAATCAGTTAGTAAATCATTGTTTATTTAGAAGATTTACATTTAGAAAATAAAGCAATGTTAATTCAGTTCTTTATTTGTTTCGTGAAAAAAATAATACAATTTAACAAAAATGTGCACATAGCACATTTTGTTAAATTGTATTATCAGGTTCACTATGTCATGACTATGACTGACAATATGTAGGATACCCCACATACACCACACACATACACACACAGACTCACTAATTATGTTTAAAAAAATTATTGTTGAATATATTTTATAATTTTATCTTTCTGTGACAATAAATGTGAAATAGAGTAGAGCAAAATTTTCTCCCAAATACTATTACTAACGTACCACAAAATGATAGAACAGAAGGCTACTTGAATGATGCACATTACTTTTCACTACAGTCCAGAATAATTTAATTATTCAATAGCTATGGCAGATGTGGACATACAGTAGGCTATATAGTTTTCAAGATAGGCAGGCCTACATCTATTCCAGTATTTTAAAACGTATTTTAATTCAGTGTTTGATAATTTCCCTAAATGGTGCTGGTATTTTTTTTTATCTTTATCTTTGTATTCCATTTTAATATAATAAAGCATGTTATGTCAGCTATATCATTATACTAGCGATAAAGTAATTTTTATTTATCTAGTCTTATTTTTTCTACAAAATTGTGCCTATAAATGTATTACTCCCGCAGCTTTTTTAAGCCCTTTAACCTACAACTTTCCTGAACATAATCAAACAGAAGCTTATTTCAATATTAGCTGACAAAGAACAGAATGTGTGTGTGTGTGTGTGTGTGTGTGTGTGTGAGAGAGAGAGAGAGAGAGAGAGAGAGAGAGAGAGAGAGAGAGAGAGCCGTCCATTCATCATTGATCCACTGCAGGACTGTGTTTCAGGGGTGTGAATTATGGGCCCCTGCTGTCACTGTGACTGCTCCGCGTTGGACATTTCACCTCGCCACTGTAAATTTAAAAAGGGGATTACATTTTGCTGACTACTAATTTCACAGCCGTGGCTCGACCAAGTGAAGACAACTGGTCGGTCCCGCTGACAGAAGACTTATTACAGTCCGCAATTGCAGGATTTGGGATTTTGAAAGGGTCCGAATAAGGCTACCGGGAAAGAAAACGTAATCTGGATGACATTGAACCTCAATAGGTTACCGTTTACACATTTAGACTACGGACTCCTTTTCTCCAGGAGAAAAAAAAAAAAAACGTTTTGTAGTTGACTGGGCGTTTTGGACGCATTCGGTAAACGGTGATGCTACGGCGGCGCGCAGGAACCATAGAGGGAAGAGACAGGTGAGGTGCGGCTAAGGAGCTGCTGTTATTTCAGAGAGGCTTTGGATACCGAGAGCTCGTGGCATCCATCACCCTTTACTCCACAGAGAGGACGAAGAAAGACCAGAGAGGGCGAGTTGGCGACTGGCACCTGCCTCCGCCTCCCTACCTGGCCATCTGGTGCGGTGAGTGTGCCAAATGGTGAGATTGAGAGATGGATATGCTGTGAGGGAGACGGGGGGTGGATGCATGAACAGGTATATACAGCATGTACGCAATTGTATTACTGCCGCCAAATGCGATGCTGCATTATTACTCTACCGGGTGTGTTTGGCATCGCCCGGTCCTCTTTTGGCATGAACTGCTCTTTGTAACTGATGCAAGTTTGATGTTTTATTTGCATTGGCTGCCATGTGCATATCTTTGTACATATCATTGCTCTTTCACGTGTTGCATAGTATTTTACAGTGCCTGTTCTTTCACACAGATTTGAAGTGATGTCTCAGCAAAAATAGCTCACAATACTTGCCCATTATAAGACTGCAATGCAAGGACTAGCACAAAGCCTGATTAACATTCTTATTTAGATCACGACCGGGTGTCATAGGTCGTGATTAAAACGAGGCTTATTGCTTTCAGATGTTATATTTAATTGTTCCCCAGTGTAAATTCGTCATGTTTTATTAAATGTTTGCTTAGGGCTTCCGGTTAAAGGTCACATGTGATGATTTGGAAGCCCATAAAGTCAATTGATTATGTCATTACTCACTCACAATAGAGAAACAGGAGTGGCATGATAAATGCACAGAGCACACCATACTGTATTTGCTGTTGCCAGTGCAGATCCAAAGGATGTCTGACAAAAACTAGAGAAAACTCAAGAGAGAACTCTAAAATATGCTTTGTCCAAAATGTGTCTTGCACACTTACAATAAGGCATCTAAATCGCCCATAACCACACCGCACACTCATATCCTCCATGTCCTAAATTAAATGCTCACTGCTGTCCCAGGTCTTACTGAAGTGATTTAGTAGTTATATGTAATTTATTGTTTACAACTTCATCCTTCACACTAACAGCTATCGAGTTCCACAGAAGGACTATAACAGCTCCAGCTGCTGCTGTTTATGTTTGGTGTTTCTGTGTAAGTTGAAGAGAGGTTGGAGACAAAAAAAAAAAATAGAAGAAGGAGGGGGAGGAGGCGAGACAGAAACACAGACAGACAGACTGGGGATACAAAGGATAAAGTGTGGCAGATAGCAATCTGGTGTATAGGCTGCAGGGGGATAGGCTGAGGGTGTAAAAGACAGAAAAATAAATGATGGAGCAGAGAGCTCAGTGTGAACGAGCGTTGAGGAGAGGGGCTGCAGACAGCAGTCTAAGCGGGTGTGAATGGTCTCACTGTTATCCCTGCTGCCCACACAGACAGCCACACAGCAGCCGTGTGAGCAGGTGCTAACCCCACACACAGCAACCGCAGGGAACAACAGGTGCAGCCACTGTTTCCTTTAGCCTGCCTTTAGAAGGCAGTGTAACACCCGCCCATCTCGAGCATCCAGTCCATACTGAAGGGAACCAAATTGATACTTCAGTCTACATTTAGGAAAATAGCATGCAATGGCCAGGCTTGAGTAATTCAATTATAAAATTAATTATGCTGCAAACAAAGTTGGAACCACTTGAAGCAATAAAGCCGAGCAGGCTGCAGGTAAAAGCAATCTAAGAGAGCCTCACGGTGAAACAAATGCCCACAGGGACATTTAATGAGCTCTATTGATCACATAGGACCCTATTCAATCACACATGCTAAGCCGTAAACAGGGCACCTCAAGCACGGGGAAAAAATTAGATTGTATTGCAGCATAATTCAGCCTACCCACAAAGAGAGTACAGCAGATTAGTGTGTTGGGGGTTGCTAAGAAGCAAGTTTCTGAAAAATGTGTAGAATGACTGTCTGAGATCTTGTGTGTGTGTGTGTGTGTGTGTGTGTGCGTGTGCGTGTGCGTGTGTGCATGTGCGTGTTAAATAGAGTCAGATGAAACAGACAAGGACGTTGGAAGCAAAGAGATGTTACCTAACAGCTTCTCTGTTCCTATCGCCAAGAGACTACGTCAAGCAATCGGCGACGAATTGCCTCTCTTTACCTCAGAGAGTACACAGAGAGGAACACTGAGTGATACAAACACTCCTGGTTTTAACACTGTGGGTCTATAAACCTTCAGTTTTCCATCTCTACTTCAAATCAGGGATCTTGGATCTTTTCACCAAGCCTGAACCAACCAGCAAACTGTTTTAAAGCTACCAAAAGATTTTTTTTTTTTTTTAAATAACTGAATGTTTTTTTCTTTATTTTCTGTCATTCGCTGTAACCTATACTCACTGTAGACTTCCTTGTTTTCACCGGTTTTGACACAGCCTGGAGATACCTCCCACTCACTGCTCTGATTATCTATGAAGGAATGTTAATACATCTGAACAACTTACAGTGTTTAGGTGAACTTTAAGTAACTTTCGAAACTTGCTGTATCAACTCCCATCTGCCCTAAAGTAACCACTCCACTCTGTGTTAGACAGTAGACAGGATTATTCTCTAATCTTATCATAAAAATACAAAAAGTTCTGAGTAGTGTCAAGAGATTTGAAGGAATGCTTATTTTCCTCAAAAGCAGCCATTTACAGTATCTTTTGAAGTTCCAGTTTCACACAGAGTGCAGTGTTTATCTGGAGGTAGGGTTTGGTTGGATTCTTTAGTACAAAATGACTTGAAGCTTGAAAGGGGTGTTAAAGACTGTAAACCTCAGGGCAGTAAGATCAGAAGGACCTAGCTGGGCAGGCATCTGCTGGGTCACCTATTCCAGCAGTGTGGGCCTCAGGGAGTCATTGTGCAGGATTAAGAGGGCCAGGCGGTCAGCAGTCACGCAGTCATACTTTCTTTACAGAAACTAACTCTTATCCCGAGACAGGTATATTCAAAATGAACTCCCTTGTGCAAACATTCTCTGTGTTGATATGAGAGGTTTTCACAAGCCTAACTGGGCTTTTCTCCAAATGTTTAAAAAGGAAAGGAGCAAAATAACAGATATCACACAAGCCGAGGAGCTTTACCTATAGCAAACTCTGCTGTAAATTGTTCATGGGGCCATAAACACATCAAGATAAATGATGTTCAGGTGGCCAATGTGGCTGCACCATGTGGATGTGGATTTGGTTGCTGTTGCTATAGCGTGTAATAATGCCTTGCAGTTGTTTTCAGTGTGAAAATCCCTCATATACTTTACAGTGGCCATGCATCTTCAGTTTTATGACTCTGCCACTGATTCCTCCCCCTGGAGGTGCAGCTTCTTTTTTAATGCATCCCTGTGCACACTGTGTGGCCTCTGCACATGCTATAACGCGCTGACATGGGTGTTCACTTTGAAGTTTATTGTTCTGTCCACTGTATCACCCTAATAACACCTCTGACACTCCCTCATCAGAGGCTCAGGTAGGTAATAGCACATGCGTGGTCTGTGAGGGTGTGACTGTTTAGGGCACACACACATGCATATTTTATGTGTGCATTTGTTTTAGTGTATGTGGGGGTCATGAGAAGTACAAGTTCGTTTGTCTCTCAAATGAAGCTATCTCTTTGTACGCAGCTGGTCCTCCCATTTAACTGCCTGGCAATTTGGTTGTGAGTGGCACCACAGCTGTTTCAACTTACAACGATAAAGGTAGTCTAATCTCTCGCCTTTTGTGATCTCATTTACATCACCAAATTGCAAAGTGAGAAAATGACCGTCCACTTCAAGCTTTTACTGAGGCACTCACACACATCCACACACACACACACAAGCAAAATAAGCAAATAACAAAGTAACCTTTTCTCAAATGCCACTGCTGAGACACTTGACTTTTTACTTCTTTGCACAAAGTGAATAGAGGTGTATATATTTCTCTGGAGCTTGGTCTATCTTCTCATATTTTGCTGCATTTGTTGTCCAACAAATTCAGCAAAGACCTAAGCCAATGGCAGGCTTTAGTTATGGCAGCTTAGCCACAGGGATTTGAAGGACTTTTTCACTGTGAGATAAAGGCGCATCCAAGTCCTTTGTCTCAGCTACTCGAGATGGTCTTGTAGCCTGGTGAAGCTTTGTTGTGGCTAATCTTTCCCCATCCTGTCCTCTCCCACACCCATCCCTTCTTTGCAACAAACAGAACTTTTCTCTTTTAATTATGGCTTTTCATCTGGGGGCCAGTCACAACTGAGCAGAGAAGAGCAAACTATAGCAGAGACACAATTATACCTGCGAGGAGGAGAGAAAGCTCTCAGGGGAGGTGTTGTCTCTGCGTACGGGTGTGTACGCTGGAGCTGTGTGTTTGTGTGCATATGTCAGTCCACAAGCAGGTTCTTTGGCATTTTGATATCTGTTGTGTGTAGACCACCTATTGTGAGCTGTGATCCTCTTAGCAGGCTTCTGCCAAAAGAGCTATATTTACCCTTACTGGTGATCACAGCGCATAAAGAATAACATGACGTGAATATGAGCTACCTATCAGCCTGTGCCTCCTTCTGTGCCACCATAAGAGAAGCCACTAACAGGGTATGAGATATATGCTAATGGCTGCCACGTTGAGACATTCGCACAGGCTTTTTAGCATAGTCTTTTTTGAAGTAGAAATATGAACGGCAGGGGTATGTTGAGTTGTGGTCTATAACCAAACAAACCAAAAATGTAACAAAAAATTATATTTTTTGGCGGTTATCACAGTTTATTCATATGAAAACACCAACTTTCCAGCAGTAACATGATTCTTCTTTGTAGTATATATTAGAAAATCACAAATGTTAGCTTAAGACGCGCAGAAGAAAAGATGCTCCCTGGAGACAGACGTCAGTGGACTACCTTGTAGAGTACAAAGTGCACCATTAACACCGTCTGACAAAACAGAATAATAACAGCATTGAAACGGGTCAAATTCATCGATGAAAAACCCTTGTCACGTTGTGTAATTAGACTGCATCTACATTGCCGTCGTACGTACTGGAGTGTGTGTTCGACTCTGTGCTCATAGTGTGTGTCTGAGAGCGTGCACTGCATACTCATGTGCTCGCCTCTAGCTCAGAGCTGTGCAGTGAATGTATATGTGCTTACTGCAGTCAAACTCTGGTTAGTAACGTTTGCCCTTGCTGCAGCTTTGTAC